AAAAAAAAAAAATCACATTTGAATAAGTGCATGTTTTGGGTTCTTTCTTTTGTTGTCATTTAAGTGACCCTGGGGTTAAACTGGTCTCAACGCCCTTAAAACTCAGTGTCGCGTCTCTTAAGGAATTCTGTTCCCTATGTGCAGAAATGATTTAGAAGAGAAAATGTTTTAGGGAACATCCAGGTTAAAATTTGGTTTTTCAAAGAGAAGTGAGGGGTGCCTGGATGTCTCATTTGGTTAAAGTGTCTAACCCTTGATCTCGGCTCAGGTCATGATCTCATGGTTTGTAGGTTCGAGCCCTGTGTTGGGCTCTGTGCAGAGTCTGCTTGGGATTCTCTCTCTCTCCTCTCTCTCCCCCTTTCCTGCTCTCTTTCTCTCAAAAATAAACAGACATTTTAAAAAATAATAAAAGGGAAGTGAAATTTACATAAGGATCTATCGATCAATGTCTCTCAAGTTTCATTTACTTATTTTTCAAGCTGCCTTTATGCCTATGGTGGTCAGTCATTTTGGTTGTCAACTGTGCATGCAAGGCTGACCCTGTCCCTTCTCTCTGGGGATGGGCAGGTGCCATCCAAAGGCTCAGGCTTGGACTCTGGCTTGGGGTCAGAACTTGGGCAAGTCACTGCTGTCTTTGGCCTGCAGAGTCAGTGCAAATGAGCCGACTCCCACGTCCCTCCCCGGCTTGAGGACTGGGGAGTGCAGCCTCCAGATACTTTATTACCGTTTTCCCCTTTTGGAAGTCCCAATAGCCCCGGCTGTAGACCCAGGCACTCTAGGAAGTAGGGCTGACGGCTCAAGCAGCCTCCCCTGCCTCCCCAGGTACCGCAGCGGGACCCGCGGCTACATGAAGGCAGTGGTGTTGGATCTCCTGAGAAGATATTTACGCGTGGAACACCATTTCCAACAAGGCAAGTGTCGCCGCCAGCGCTGGTGACAAGCCCACAGGGTGGGAGGGCCCTGAGCCTCACCCCTGTTGTCTCCCTCTAGCTCACTACGACAAGTGTGTGATCAACCTCAGGGAGCAGCTGAAGCCAAACATGTCCCAGGTGCTGGACTGCATCTTTTCCCACGCGCAGGTGGCCAAGAAGAACCAGCTGGTGATCATGTTGATCGTAAGCAGGACGGGGCACCCTGTACCCACAGTGGGAATAGCTCAGGGTCCATAGACATTCTGGAAAGGGCCGGGGTAGAAATATTTTAGCTTTTGCTGGCCGTGCAGCCTCTGTCCTGACCTTGTGCAACGTCAAGGCCTGCAAATGGACACGGCTGTGTCCCAATAAGACTTTGTTTATAAAACCACGCGGCGCGGGTGGGATGCAGCCGCCCCTGGGTGCAATCGCGACTGACACTCACAGAGCGCCTCCTATGTGCCGGGCACTCCTCACGTGCTTTTCAAAAACCGGCTCGTTGACTTGAGCAAGCCCGGAAGGTGCGTACTGTGCTCACTCCCGCTCTGGCAGAGCACAAGGAGGTGAAGTCACTTTGCCAAGGGCACACAGCTGCTAAATGCAGAGCTGGGATTGGAACCCAGAGCCTGCCCCCCGCCCCCCGGAGTCATGAGTTATTAGGGGCTATTGGATTCTGAGTCTGGTAGGACTTTGGGTTTGCCTTCTTGGAGAAGCACGGAATTTCTTCGTTCTTATTTCTCTTCCTACCAGATGGTAATTAGCATCCTTTATAGTTTGCAGTCTCTTCCCTTGATATGGTCTCTGACCCGACTCACTTGGAAAATGCAGGGTCAGCAGATACTAGGAGATCTGGACTTGGTTTTAGCAAGAAGGCGCCGACAGATTTTTTTTTTCTTTTTTGTAAAGACAGTAAATGTTTTGGTCTTAAGAACCATGCAGCCCGTGTTGCAACAGTTCAGTTCTGCTGTTGTAGCGTGAAAGAAGCCATGGTCAGTATATAAGTGAATGTATAAACTTTATTTGTGGGGCACCTGGGTAGCGCAGTCCATTAAGTGTCTGACTTCGGCTCAGGTCATGATCTCACCATTTGTGGGGTCGAGCTCCGCATCGGGTTCTGTGCTGACAGCTCAGAGCCTGGAGCCTGCTTCGGATTCTGTGTCTCCCTCTCTCTATTTGCCCCTCCCCTGCTCACGCTGTCTCTCTCTCTCTCTCTCTCTCTTTTTCTCTCTCTGTTTCTCTCTCTCTCAAAAATAAATAACCGTTAAAACAAATTTTTAAAAACCCACTTTATTTGCAAAAAAAGGGGGTTGGCCAAATTTGGGCCTGGGCTTATAGGATAGTTAACACCCTAGCAAGATGGTTTCAGAAATACTGATCTTTTTGTAAAGAATCATTTTGAAATCTCCTAGTGTGGCATGAGGATCTCTTAATCCTAGCTGCACATGAGAACCTCCTGGGGTAGGTGTAGGGGGACTTTTAAAAAATACAGACACCCTGGCCTCACCCCTGGTCAGTTAAATCCGGCTTTCTGGGGATGTGGCCCAGGCATCAGTACTTTCTGAAAGCTTTCCCCGGTGCGAAACTTCCTCGTGGGCTGCGTATTATATAATATCAGTTTAATGTTTAATTTCTTGGATGTTTCAATGGTTCTTTCGTTAGCTAGGAGATCTTTTTTCTCAAGGAGGTACATTTTTTTTTTTGAACGTTTATTTATTTTGCAGGGAGGAGGGCAGAGAGAGAGGGAGAGAGAGAATCCCAAGCAGGGTCTGCATTATCAGGAGAGCCTGATGCAGGGCTCACACTCATGAACTGTGAGATCGTGACCTGAGCTGTAGTCCGATGCCCACCTGACTGAGCCACCCAGGCGCCCCACAAGGAGGTGTATTCTTACCGGGAGGGATCATGGGGTCTGTAACTGACTTTCACAAACGAAAGCGTGTGTGTGCACACACGTGTATGCATGCTAGAGAAAAAGCAGGTGTGGCCATACGGTCAAAGTTGAGCAGCCGGTGGAACTGGATCATCATTATCGGGGTTTTCCATATACCGATCCTCATTTCTTGTGTAGTTTTGGCAATTCTTCCAAATTATGTTTGGAGGGAGAGCTTCCCAGTGTGCGGCCCATAAGTACAGGATTGGGAACTTAGGCCCGAAGGTCTGCCTGTCACGTGTTACCATCTCCTCGCCATTCGGAAGCCAGGGGTGAAAGCTCTGCATTATTCCGCTGTTTGCTACTGTCTGTGCACATACTGACTCTCTTCTGGGCATGAAAGAGCAAGGGGCGCCTGGGTGGCTCAGTCGGTTAAGCGTCGACTTCAGCCAGGTCACGATCTCGCGGT